CAGTGCCACCCCAGTGCCACCCCGTGTCCCACCTTGCACCCGGGGCCAGCTGTCACTCCCTGGCAGGTGACAATCCGGCTGCTCCGGGACCAGCCGCTCGTCCACCTCGATCACCTCCTCATAGAGCACGTCAGGCATGGCCACCTCCTGCGGGGACACACGGGGACACGGCGGGGTGGCACGGGTGGCACCGGGGTGGCACTGGGGACACGGCGGGGTGGCACGGGTGGCACCACGGGGACAGTGCGGGGATGGAACTGGGGTGGCACCGGGGACATGGCCGGGGTGGGACTGGGGTGGGACTGGGGACAGGGCTGGAGTGGCACTGGGGTGGCACTGGGGTGGGACTGGAGTGGCACTGGGGTGGCACTGGGGACAGGGCCGTGACACAGGGACAATGTGGGGGTGGCACTGCAGTGACACCGCGGGCAAATGGGACAGGAATGGGGTGGCACTGGGACAGGGGATAGGGGACAGGGACATGAGGGGGGAACACGAGGGGACACCAAGCCCCACAGCAGGACAGTGTGGAGGACACGGTGCCAGCCCAGGGGGGACACGGGGAGAGGGTGCTGGGGACACTGTGGGACACTGGGACACGGTGCCAGCCCAGGAGGGGACACTGTGGGACACAGGGGACATGGTGCCAGCCTGAGAGGGGACACGGGGACAGGGTGCTGGGGACAGTGTGGGGCATTGGGACACGGTGCCAGCCCAGGATGGGACAGTGTGGGACACAGGGGACACGGTGCCAGCCCAGGGGGGACACGGGGACAGGGTGCTGGGGACAGTGTGGGACACAGGGGACATGGTGCCAGCCCAGGGGGGACACGGGGACAGGGTGTGGGGGACAGTGTGGGGCACAGGGGACACGGTGCCAGCCCAGGAGGGGACACTGTGGGACACAGGGGACATGGTGCCAGTCACGGGACGTGCCGGTCACGGGATGTGCCAGCCCCGTGCCAGGCGGCCACGGGTCACCGAGGGGTCACCGAGGGGTCACCGAGGGGTCACCGCGTGGGACATCACGTGTGTCAGCGCGGGGCCACCGAGGGGGTCACGGGACACAGGGGACACGCGGCACTGCGGGCACAGGGACCTGGCACCCCCACCCCAGGGGACACGGGGCAGGGGACGTGGCACCACAGACCCTGGCAGTGCCAGCGCAGGCACAGCTGTGCCCAGGTGTGTGCCCAGCTGTGCCCAGGTGTATCTATGTATGGGGGTGCCCAGCTGTGCCCAGGTGTGTGCCCAGGTGTGCCCAGGTGTATCTATGTACGGGGGTGCCCAGCTGTGCCCAGGTGTGTGCCCAGCTGTGCCCAGGTGTATCTATGTACGGGGGTGCCCAGCTGTGCCCAGGTGTGTGCCCAGGTGTGCCCAGGTGTGTGCCCAGGTGTGTGCCAGGTGTGCCCAGGTGTATCTATGTATGGGGGTGCCCAGGTGTGCCCAGGTGTGTGCCAGGTGTGCCCAGGTGCTCACCAGGTCGAAGAGGCGCGGGCGTGCCTGCGTGCCGATGTGCAGCAGGTGCTGGTGTGGGGTGGGTTTGGGTTGTTGGGTTTGGGGTGGGTTTGGGGTGGGTTTGGGTACAGGTGAGTGCCCAGGTGAGTGCCAGCCGTGCCCAGGTGTGTGCCAGGTGTGCCCAGGTGTGCCCAGGTGCTCACCAGGTCGAAGAGGCGCGGGCGTGCCTGCGTGCCGATGTGCAGCAGGTGGCGGAAGCCGCGGGTCACGGCCAGCGCCGCGCGCTCCCCGCGCCGCTGCAGCAGCGCGTTGGTGGCCACCGTGGTGCCCATGCGGATCCACTGGATCCCGGCGGCGTCCAGGGGCTGCTCCCGCGGCAGCGGCACCCCCAGCTCCTGCGGCACCCCAAAACTGAGCCCCGGGACCCCAAACTGAGCCCCGGCACCCCAAAACTGAGCACCGGGACCCCAGACCCGCAGCGGCACCCCCAGCTCCTGCGGCACCCCAAAACTGAGCCCCGGCACCCCCAGCTCCTGCGGCACCCCAAAACTGAGCCCCGGCACCCAAAACTGAGCCCCGGCACCCCAAACTGAGCCCTGGGACCCCAAACTGAGCCCCGGCACCCCAAAACTGAGCACCGGCACCCCAAACTGAGCCCCGGGACCCAAAACTGAGCCCCGGGACACCAACATTCACCCGGGACCCCAAAACTGAGCCCCGGGACCTCAAAATTCACCGGGGACCCCAAAACTGAGCCCCGGGACCCCAAATTCACCTGGGACCCCCAGCTCCTGCAGGACCCTAAAACTGAGACCCAGGACCCCAGACCCATTTGGGGACCCCAGACCTATTTGGGCCCTCCAGACCCATTTGGGGACCCCCAGACTTATTTGGGGTCCCCAGACCCATTTTGGGGTCCCCAGACCCATTTGGGCCCCCCAGACCCATTTGGGGACCCCCCGCACGGGCTGGGGCAGGGGGTCCAGGCAGGCCCAGGGCTGGGGGGCTTAGGGGGGCCGGGAGGGGTCTGGGGGTTCCCCACGGGGGTCCTCGGGGGGGTCCCGGGATTCCCCACGGGGGTCCCTGTGAGAGGCATTTGAGGGGGGTCCCCGTGGGGTCCTTTGGGGGTTCCCGGTGGTCCCGGGGAGTTCCTCAGGGGGGTCCCTGTGGTCCCGGGGGTCCCAGCAGGGCACTCGGGGGGTCCCGGGGGTCCCGGTGACCTCGGGCGGGTCCCGTGGTACCCCGCCGTGTCCCGGGGGTCCCGCTGTGTCCCCGCCGTGTCCCGGGGGTCCCGCCGTGTCCC